TCTGTTGAAACCGATCGTGGAAGGTGGTATCACGTTGGTTGTTTGCAGCATCATCTCGTCCCGGCGACATCGCGATCGTACTGACTGCTGATACCAACTGATGTAGGGAAAGCGTACGAATGAGAAGGATAAAACGAGATACTCTCTCGAACTTGGGATACTCTCCCAAAAAACACAAACAATTTTAATTCATTCTCAAATTCAACTGAATAAAACAATAGATGGGGAGCCTTTAAATAAGACTCCTAAACATTATTTCTAACTTGTCCAACAAGACAAAATCTCTAATATTTAATTCCTAACTTATTCTCCAAGATAATAATAACAATAATAATAATAATACTAATTAAACTATTAAACTATCCTCATCAGAATTATACTGGAGGAGAAGAGTTTTTTCGGAGACTTGTTCTTTTTGGGTCACTTAAGTTTCTGGGTTGAGTAATATCAGGTAGTTTGGTTTTGTGAAGCACTAAGTATGCCTTTTTCTTGAATCCTCATGTTAATAACTGTATTTAGTTAATCATAGTGTTTGAGCTTGTAGATCATGGGTAGAATGGCAGTGACACGAATATGCTGTTTAGTGCCTTAGCTTTTGTGTACTATCTTGTAGGATAGGAAGTCATTGACTTTGGGGCCTGATGATTATCTACATGTGGAGGGATTTGCCTCAAATGTCTTTCAAAGGCAGACAAACAAGATAGAGCTGGGCGGGCCGATTTGTATGTTTCGTTCCCTTGCTTCATTCAATTAGTCTTATATTTTAATGTAGCCACTTTTAGATTGTTTTATTTATTGTGCAGTTTGGACCACATTTATGTATTACTTGCATTCTGTGCCTTTAGTGTTTGAGGTGTTCTATTAGTTTCGTCCAACTTTTGAGTTACGACAATTACGATATGATGTAAAATACTGGATGGATCAGGGATCTTGTGTTTGGCGATTCATATTAGCAAGGTAGTTGTTTGCTACCTTAATTTTCTCATAGAAAAACGATGATGATGTGTTTCTCATGCTTTCTCTGTATTTCTGATCAATATTGTGGTAATGTATATTGTGGCTTGTGGGATTTTAGACTTATGATCACTTTCTTTGAAAGCGTAAACAATACCAAATTCTAATTAGTGTAAACTTGTATTGAATTGTGGGCATGTCATATAAGATAAAAGTCCACTTAAAGCTTAGAAAGTTAGAACACTGATGATTTTATAATTGAGAGTAAGATTCCCGTTGAATCAGTCCAACAAGTCTTTCTCCTCTATATAATTTAGGACCAGTTATTTTCTGTTAAGAAACTATCTAGTAACTAGTTCTTTATATAATACCTTGAAGTGTTGAAGAAAATCTTGTGTCTAGTTCTCAGTATAATGCTAAAGCCGAGAATTTGATCAAACTCTGTGAGTCTTTCTACTGTAATTGGAGATATACATGTGAATTAATTCGAGAAAACTATGGTTTCCATGTGGGGTTTCCAGTATCTTTGGGTTCTTGGTGTCCTCTTGTCCATGTAAACTGTCCTTGTAGTGAGGTGCATAAGTGGTCCGGCTACGACCTCATTATTTTAATATGCAAGTGCTTAGATTCATTGCTCATTTGCACTCATATTGTACTGGCTAGGAAAATTGTTAGTCGTGACACTTGCATGTTCGTTATTGATCTATCTCTTCTTTCAAAATTTAACTTGATGAACTTCAAAGTGGAATCCGTGCATGCAGACATGGGAGATATAAATGTAAATGGTAATATCTCATCCCAATGGAATTCTTCTGATTGCTACAGGAACACTGCAAAAACATTTTTCTTTGAAATCCTGAATCAGTTTGGATAGATTCAGCGTTTTTGCATGGTTGTTTAAATACACAATAATAATGATATGGTTATTTTGGGTAAACTTGGCTCAGTTACGTGTAACAGATAATTATCATGACGTTATATCTCCAATTTTTCCTTATTTACAGCTTGAACAGAAAGAAACAAAAGTATGCAGTATGGAAAGCGGCAGATATACGGAAAGCTCTGAAAGAAGGAAGGAAACCTGTGCCAGGTCCTCCTGGTGGTGATGAACATCTGTCTGTACCGAAAATTATTATTTTGAATGAAAGACGAGCATAATTTCTCTTTGTATTTTTGTAGGATCTTGAACCGAACAGAAGTGATTTTACCATCAGATTCACCAGCGTCACTATCCAACCAACGATTACCCGTCCCACAATTTTCAACAGCCACCTGAAAATTTTCACCAGCCACCTGATATTCACCAGCCTCAGCCTCCGGATAATATTCATCCCCAGCGATACAAGCCCCAACTGCCCCACCACCTTCCTCAACATTACTTACCCCAAGACATGGCCCCACCATACTCATACCCAAATTTCCAATCCGCAGCTCCACCTAACCACCCTTCTTTTTACCAAGGCCCAGATGCTTCCTATTCCACTTCATCGCCACCTGGCGCGGCTAGTTATCCTTCGGCTGCGCAGTATGCCCCAGCGAATAGGAATGGGAATGTTCCGGAAGCTTCTCAAACTACGTACGATGCCAAAGTACGAGTATGACTCTAATTATCAACCGCCACCTGAGCAAATTGTGGAGGCGCACAAGGCAGCTAGGTTTGCAGTTGGTGCATTGGCGTTTGATGACGTTTCTGTGGCGGTCGAGCATCTTAAGAAGTCACTTGAGTTGTTGACTAGGCCATCGGCTAGACGTTGAGCTTAATTAAATTAAGAAAATAAAAAAAGTTTGTTTGCTTCTTTTTTTTTTTTTTTTTT